ATCTTATCAAGCAGGGTGTGTATTACGCCACCCAGCTTTGAGGGGGGGACGTGTGAGAGTACGACGGCTTTGCTATGATTTCCTAGCTTGATTCTGCTTTATTATAAATTATCTAGCGTAGCTTTATTTTGTTTTGCTTGATTCTGCTAGATTTCCTAGGTTCGTTGCTTTTACTATATTATTATAGTTATAGGCACCGAACTAGGTTGAGTGCACCTAATTCAAGGCTTTTCGGTTGCCACCGAATTGCCTTCTACCGAATTCGGGAAGGACCCGTTCGGGACGCTTCGCGACCCGCGGAACCTTCTAGTAACACCCGGGTTACTGCCTTTGTGTCGAGCCTATATATAGCCTCGCCTTGTACCCAGGTGAATCATTCAATAGAATCATCTTTCCTGAACCAGATCCTTACAGTAAGTACTTGCCTTCTGCAAGGTACTTGCTAACAGAGACACATGGAAGACATTGTGAATCTGAAGGGAATCAGGTAGCTTGAGCTTATAAGCTACCTCACCAACTCGTTGAACCATTTCGAAGGGGCGAATCCAACAAAGGAACAACTTTCTCGCATGAGGGAACAACTTTCTCGCACCTCACCAACTCGTTGAACCATTTCGAAGGGCCCAATCCAACAAGGGAATAACTTTCTCGCACGAGAGATTTTAAGCCGAATATTCTTCGTGCTTAACAAAACTTTGTCTCCGATAGAGAATGAGACTTCCCGGTGTTTCATATCGGTGTAGGATTTTTGCCTTTGTTGGGCTAATTGAAGCCAACGATGTGCCGACTTTAGGGCCTCTCGTTTGCCCACAAAATCCTTTGCGGCAGGTAACTTCAAACCGCCGATCCCATGGGTAGCAGGTGTTGTGGGATGCCGACCATAGTTCAGGATAAATGGTTTTTCATGTGTGCTATCATGCACCTGGTTGTTAACTGCAAACTTGACCATGGGTAACATCTCATCCCAATTGTCCTGTGTTGGGCTTATGAAAGAACGAAGCACCTGCTCGAGATTGCGCTTAGTCCATTCCGTTTGCCCATCTATCTGTGGATGGAACGCTGACGACATCTTAAGCTTTGTTCCTAGTGTCCCAGTTACTTCACGCCAGAATCTGCTCGTGAAGCGCGGGTCGTAGATCAGACACTAATACTCATGGCAATCCGAGTAGGCGGAACACATGTGTCACGAACAACCGAGCCGTATCCTCTGCTGACACGTCTATTGCCGTGGGTACGAAGTGCACCATTTTGGTAAGGCGATCCACAAATACAAGTATTGTCGTATACCCATCACGGGTCTTTGGAAGGTCGGTGATGAAATCCAGTGAAACGATTTCCCAAGGTTCACTCGGAATTTCAAGTGGTTGAAGTAAACCACCAGGCTTTTGTGTGTCCGATTTGTTACGTGCGCACGTGTCACAACGTGCCACAAACTGTTGGACATCGCAACCGACTCCTAGCCACCAATATACATCAGGTAGGGTTCACCGAGTCTTATTCCTGCCCAAGTGTCCCCCATATTTAGTGGCATGCAACTCTTCCAAAATATCGTTCCGCAAATTGCTTATATGAGGTACCGCAAACTCTTTTATTCGCCACCAAAGATTGTGTTCCCATGTCAAATGTTTGGTGTTTTAAGGGTTCCGGAACCAGGAATTGATATGATCTCCTGTTCGAAATCGTTTCAGAAAACCACTGAACGCGATCTCGCTCACTTTCCCTGTAGCTAGTATACTTAAACATGCAGCAAAAACAACCGCATGTTCGGTATCGTCAAGCCCGGTTGCCGCCCCTATCGGCTGTCTACTGAAGGGGTCGGCCAGGTTCGTGGAACCTGCACGATATTGAATGTCGAGGCTGAACCCTCTGAGGAGTTCAGCCCAACGGGCCTGCCAGCGAGTGAGGGTGGCTTGGGTAGAGAAATATGTGTTCGGACAATGGACAGTAGTGACCCACAACATCCAAATAACATCGCCATGTTCTTAGTGCATGCACGACAACCAACAACTCTTGTTCGATAGCCGTGTAGCGTTGCTCTACTGGGGAGAGTTTTCTACTCTCAAATGCCATAGGGCGTCCTTCTTGCAGGAGTACTGCTCCAAGTCCCACTATTGAGGCGTCTGTAACCATCTCATATGGTTTCTGTGGGTTTGGCAACACCAAAACTGGTGCGTTAGTTATTTTATGCTTGACCCCTTCGAAGGCCGTTTGGCACAGTCGAGTCCACTCCCATGTGCACTCTTTCCAGGTCAATGCCGTGAGGGGAGCGACTATCATGGAATAATTTTCCAAGAAGCGACGAAAATAATGTCAGAGGTCTACTGGTGATCCCCGATTGATCCTAGGGAAGGGTTACAGGCTCGTTTTCCTGGGGGGTTATGGGCGCACTAACCCGCTACTTAACAAGCCCTTTTATCCCAGTGGTTAGTGGCTGGGATTCTGACATGGTATCAGAGCGAAGGTCTCGGGTTCGAATCCCAGTGTGTGCACTTCTGGCATCCCAATGCGGGGGGGTGTCAGAGGTCTACTGGTGATCCCCGATTGATCCTAGGGAAGGGTTATAGGCTCGTTGTCCTGGGGGGTTATGGGCGCACTGACCCGCTACTTAACAAGCCATTTTATTCCAGTGGTTAGTGGCTGGGATTCTGACAAATAATTCGCCAGGCCTAGGAATGATCGAACTTGGCCAAGGTCGCGTGGGACAAGCCACTCCTGGACAGCTGCTACCTTCTTGGGGTCCACTTTCAACCCGTTATGCCCCACCACGTGCCCCAAATACTCCAGCTCATGTTTGTAAAAATGACATTTCCACAAAAACGCGTAATATTTATGCTCGCGTAATTTTTCGAGTACCCATTTCAGATGTTCCGTATGCTCGGCTTCGGTTTTCGAGTATACCAGGATATCATCGAGGTACACCAAGACGAACTGGCCAATCACGCCACGAAACACATCATTCATCGCCCTCTGGAAAGAGGCCGGAGCGTTGGACAAGCCAAAACTTCACACAGGCAACTGAAAATGGCCGAACGGCGAACAGAAAGCAGTCTTTGGAACATCGTCCTCTATTATACGCAATTGGTGATAACCTTGCGCCAAATATGTCAAACTGATATGACATAGTCTGTGTAGGCTGTAGTGGGGTAGACAATATGGGGTACAACACTTTTAGGTTTTCCTACTTGTACTCACCTGCTTTTTAGTTCATTCATTCGTCGTTTTGTTTTCACATGGTTTCAGAGCAGGTTTCCCGTGGCTTTTTCTTGTGCTCGCGAAAGATGGGCATCCCTCGCTCAAGTACTGCATCTGCCGTGCCTTCGGCAAGGAAACCACCAAGTATTCAGGCCCTGGCGATGGTGCGCGCGTCTTACAAACACAAACGATGAGGATTCACGAACACTCCAACGTCCACAAAGAGGCCATGCAGCGGCGGATGGAGATTGAAGAGTCGTTGGATGGCAAGCAGAAGAAGATCAACAACTTCACTTCGAGGGACGTGGAGGGACGGAGGGTGATACGCCTCCTGCGTGCCACGGAGCTCATCTGTAAGGTCGATGCGCCGATTTCTATGTTCATTCGCTTGCTGCGTTTCATGTCTGAGCAGGAGACGCCGGACATTTCAAGGCAGGCATACGGCGTTTATCTTACCCGGTGAATACTAATTGTGCCTAAGAGTGAATCGCTTACATATATGTACTCATGCTAACGCTTCTGTTCTGGTTTTTTTTTTTCAAGTACGGGTTCCAACAGATGGTGTACTGCCTCTCAGCTCTGTTGCTCTCAACCCAGCTGCGACATATCCAAAGCTCTCCGTATTTAGGCATCAGCTGCGACAAGAGCACGCATACGCGAGGGAAACAACTCATCCGCTACTTGACGTTCCTTCGCTTCCACCGTCCCGTGACAGAGTTCTTTGCTCACCTACCTGTTGAGAAGTGTGGCGCGGCGTCCCTGCTCTCGGTCATCATGGGTCATTAGCAGATCGTCGGAGTGGACATCAACTGCATCTGTGCTATCAACACATACGGTGCCTTGGTGATGTTAGGGTGTGACAACGGCCTGGTCACTCGTCTTAGAGAGTACATCCCACATCTGATCTCCTCACATTGTATAGCTCACAGGTCCGTTGGTTTCTGGTTTTGCTCAATTATTGCCCATTCACATATACTGGTACACATTTCTAGCCGATAGCCCCTGTTTTAGGTTTTGTGTGCAGGGAAGCGTTAGCGGTCAAAGACGCTGCCCTTGCATACACAGACTTGGACATGATTGACAAAGTGATTTGGACTGTGGCTCCTCTACTGTCGAAATCCAGTAACGTTAGCCAGTTCAGTTACTGCGGCGAATGATTCACAACCCTAACCTTGAAGTTCAAGGCATTCACGTTGTCAGGTGGCTGTCTCGTGGTGTGGTTGTTTGTCGTTTTTGCAAGGTCCTCGGCGCATCGATTGGGCTCTTACATGAGAGCAATCACAAGTTGTACGAGACGGCCACGTCGTACAAGTTTCAATTCTGCCTCTTCTTGCCGATGTGCTTGGCATCATGAACGAGCTCAACATAAAGTTTCATAAGCGTGAGGTAAGGATGACCCCATTGCTGTCTTTGTTGACATACCGTATCTATACTGAACCATCACCAACTTGTGTTGCACACCTTGCCATCCCTTTTAGGTCGACGTTACCGAGATCGCCAAGGACATTGACGAGGCCACCAAGGACCAGCGGCGGCGCTATCTGGAGTGCGAGGACTTGATGAGAGGGGGAGAAAGCCCGGCACTTTTGGAGTTCCTGACATTGCAAGGGAGGGGTGCGACAAAGAGGATGAGGGTGCGCGGAGTCGACACCAAAGGTCAGCCATTGACGCATGTGTACAAGCTACACGAGAAGAAGATTGACAGGCACGTTTACGTTAGTACATACAGGGAGTGTGAGAAGCTGTGCACGAAGTTCGCACAAGAGTGTGCCAACCGGCTGAAGGAGCTTGCCTCATTGGCTCCTATCATGGAGGCGCACCATGAGGACGAGGTGTTGTTTCAAGGGCTGAAAAAATTGTGGGTGTGGCTGAGTGGAAGCGCACCAATCTTCGATGCAGGAGAGAAGAAGCGCAGGGGGAAGGAGCTGGCGGAGGACCAGGAACGGGAGAGGGTAGTGCGCGGGCTGGAGTGGGATCGTGAGGAGTCAGATGAGGACTACGACGAGGAGGCCTATGATGAAAACCAGGCTCAGGAGGACGACCCTTTCCGCGACGAGGATGAGGGAGAGGATGTGGAGGAGATAGCCATGGATTTGATGGTAGCTAGGTAGCTTAAAACTCCTACTGACCGATGAAATGGTAGGTAGGTAGGTAGGTAGGTAGAATAGAATGAATCCTACTTGTGACAGGGTCACAGATCCAAAGGACTATTCCCAGGACATTTTAACTTACATAAATTTTAGTCTGATCTTGGATTTTGGAAAATGACCCCTTTAGACTTAACGACTTGCGAATCCTGAAAAATCATACTCACCAAGTTGGTGAACATGTGCTTCAGACTAGACAAAAAAATTGACTACAAGACCTCATAGTAGGTTTTTTTGAAACGTCAGCCCTGTTTGCTGCAACTCTCGGAGGAGAAAGTACATCACATCAATGTGCTTCCCTCTGCTCTCCAGCCGATGCTTTCGATACAGGAGAATCATAGCCTTGTTGTCAGCAAAACAGGTCGGTGCAGAGTGAGGCCGCTCACCAAGGTCGGTGAGCAAGAAGGTCAACCAGCGAAGCTCCTGCGCAACCATGTCACCAGCGTAGAACTCTACCTCTATACTGGACGAAGCCACAGACGATGACCGTGTAGACCTCGACGATACAACTCCAGCGCCTGAACTGAAGCAGTACCCCTGAGTGAACCTCTGTGTCTCTACATCATCTGGATAGGAAGAGCCACTGTTACCGGTCAGAACAACTAACTGTCTCTCTCCTAGCACAAGCCCCATGCCAAATGTTGTCACCAGGTACTTTGCTACCCTCACAGCAGCTGTCCAGTGAACAGGACGGTATCTCCCAGTCGCAGCAAAGCGAGAGAGGACGCTGAGAGGAAAGGCGAGGTCCGAACAAGTACAAGTCATCAGGTACATGAGGTAGCCCACAAGCTCTATATAGGGACCACTAGGCTCAAAGGGCTCGTCGGGAAAAGGGCCAGTGGATCTGTCGTCAAGTGCAAGAGGAATCGGCTGTGTGGTGGAGTCCTGAAGCCCGAACCGCTCAAGGACCTGTTGTACCATGTGTGACTGTAAGAGTGTAATGGAAGGAGCGGCTCTGACCCTGGTGATCTGTAAGCCAAGGTAGCGGCGCAGCTCACCTAGGTCAGTGCGCATGTGTCCCTTCCGCAGTTTGGACATCACCTCAGCCAGAGTGGTCCTGTCTGCTGTAGCAAAGACCACGTCGTCGACGTAGACGAGGACGACGAAAGGTGTGGGCTCAGAACGAGCGAACAGCGACGGGTCAGCAGACGAAGGATGAGGGCAGCAACTGCCTTCAATGGGAAGCTTAGGTGTGGCCAAGAGGTTAGCAATGGGGAGGGTGAGGGAGGATGTGAAGGGAAGACCATGTGAGTTCATGTAGAAGAATTGAGACGCTCAAAAATGGGTAGCTACAACATGGTGAGGTGCGTTGGATGTCAGGGATGAGCAGTTGATATGCTTTGCTGTCAGCAGGCAGTGCTTGGTCATTTGCAGCAGCTTCGCAGCACTTGATTGAGTGTCATTTAGGGCTGGGAGGGGTGTCATGCATCATGGCGCTTTACTCTCCGCCTAGGCTGCCATGAGCGCCAGGCGGGCTGGATGATTTGCCAACAAGATGTTGAAGCAATCGTGACCATCTTGGTTGCATTTGCTTTTCAGAAGCCACTTGTGTCTCGTCTCATTTCCATACATCAGGCATCTTCACCACTTTCATGCATCAAGCATCTGATTCCCGATCTCACGGGTCGTCTGACTTGCATCTCTCAAGTATCAGCCATTCAATACCCCATCCCTCCCCCCCCCCCCCCCCCCCCCCCCACCCCTCTCCGCCTCCCCCTTTGCCCCCTTGGATTTTACATTTCATGCTTTGTTACTGTGCTCTATGAGGTCAGACGCTCCATTTTCCATGACACATAACCTATGACCGCTTCCACCCTACTTTCTCTCTTTCTTTCAGTTCCTCCATTCTTTTCCTCTTCTCATATCTGAGGATGAAAGTGTACAGAGCAGCACATGTTGTATAAGAGTACCATGGTTTAAAATTTGATGACTTGTGTGATAATTACGAGGAATGAGTGACTAGTGCAAGGGTTGGGTACAAATACAAGCCCTAGAAACGTTGTACCCCATAAGTGCTACCCCACTACAGCCTACACAGCCTAAGCCATATAAGTCTGACACAGCCCCATAGGCAAAGTGGGGGAGAACAAGGGGTCACAAGACCACTCAAGCAAAGCAAAGCAAAGCAAAACAAGCTCAGGGTGGATCCCAATGTCACCATACATTCCGAGCACAAGTTGAAGGCCACAAGGCCAGTTCACATGCACGATTATATAAATATAAAGCTAAACATGCAAGTGCAAGTGTATATATATAATAGTACAAGCAAGGTCAAGTAGTGAGCAAGTAAGGCAAGGTAGGCACAAGGCCTAACAGAGTACAAAAACGCTGATGATCACAAGGCGCGAGTGCCTTGGTGAAGATATCAGCAGTGTTGGCCTGAGAGGCCACGTAAGCAAGGCGCAGCTGACCACGCTGCTGCAGCTCACGAGCAAGGAAGTAGCGAAGAGCAATGTGCTTCGTTCTGTGCTCCAGTCTGTGCTCACGACACAAGGCCAGCATGGCCTTGTTGTCTACGTACAGAACTGGAGGAGAACGAGGCGGCTCTCCTAGGTCAGTCAGCAGGTAGGTGAGCCAGCGTAACTCCTGTGCAGCCATGGCCCCTGCTTAGATCTGAGCCTCACAACTGGAGCCAAGAACAGAAGACGAGCGGATAGACCGCCACAAAACAGAGCCGGAACCAAGACTGAAGGTGTAACCCTGTGACGACCGCTGCGTAGCCTGGTCGTCAGCCCAAGAAGCATCTGCATGCCCCGTAAGGACCACTGGACTCTGCCCTCCAAGCACAAGCCCCATGCCCGACGTACTGCACAAGTAGCGCAACACCCTCTTCGCTGCAGCCATGTGCTCTGGTCTGTGTCTCCTAGGAGCAACATAGCGTGCGAGAATGCTAAGAGGGTATGCAGGGTCAGGTCGTGTGCAGGTCATCAGGTACATGAGGCAGCCAACAAGCTCTGGGTACGGGCCACTCGGCTCTACGGACTCATCCGAAGGCAGGGCTGAGAGCGAGTGGCAAGTAGACAGAGGAGTGGCCTGAGGCGAGGAGTACGTGAAGTCAAAGCGCTGAAGGACCTGCTACACCCTGTGTGACTGAGTCAAGGTAATGGTGCGCCGTGCTCTGTCCCGGGTGATCTGCAAGCCAAGGTAGCTGCGCAGTTCACCCAGGTCTGTGCACGTGTGTCTCTTCTGCAGTTCGGACTTCACGTAGGCGAGTCCAGCAGTGTCAGCAGTGGCAAAGACCAAGTCGTCGACGTACACGAGGATGTAGAACGGCGGCAGAGATCGGTGCGCAGAAACAGCGACGGGTCGGCAGTAGAAGGAGCAAACTCAAGAGCCGCAAGTGTAGTCCTCAGTGTGTTGTGCCACTCACGAGGTGCCTGGCGGAGACCGTAGACTAGCCATCAGAGGCTCCACTGGGTACCAGGAGGAAAAGACCCAGTGAAGCCAGGGGGGTGGCGTAGCCAGATCTCCTCGTGCAGGCTGCCCTACAAGAAAGCAGTGCTGAAGTCAAGAGAGTGAAGCTCATAGTCACGGTGAGCTGCAACGTGCAGTAGTACCCGAAGAGTGGTCATCTTCGGGGTGGGAGAAAAGGTCTGAAAGTAGTGAACTCCCTGCCGCTCACTGAGCCACAAGCCACGTAACGCGCCTTGAAGACAGGCGGAGAACCCGGCGGCCGCTTCACCCTGAAGATCCACATGCCACTGACGATGTTCGCCCCAGGTGGGGGAACCTCGTCAATGTAAGTGCCTGTGGACTTCCAGGAAGCCATCTCTGCGTCCATGGCTGACTGCCACTGAGAGGAGTAGGGACCCTCTATCGCCTCCGCGTAAGAGCGCGGAGTCGGGATGTCTGGTGCATCCGGGTCTCCCTCAGGGGCAAGTAGCATGGACACGAGATGAGGTGAAGCAGCCGCAAGATGCTGGAACTCCTCCTGCCTGTCCTCAAGGACGTCCGTGCCAAGAGCACACTCACCCCCGACGCACGGAGGACAGAGAGACTCAGACTCAGCAACCAGACTAGCAGCGTAGTCCAGACGACAGCGAGCAGCGAAGTCGACAAGCTCAGCGACGAAGGCAGACGCAGCAGCAGGCTCAAAGGAAGGGTTAGTGACGACAGTAGCAAGAAGACGCGTGATAGTAGGACTGGCAGTACAAAGAGAGTCTGACTCTGGGTCAGTAAGAGCAGGAAGAGAGGACTCAAGAGGAGAAGGTAAAGGGGAACGCAGAGGAGAAGTGGACGGACGCAGCGACATCCGTTGCGTGCCAGGGACAGGGGGAGGACGCTGATGCGAACCACGACCACTAGCGCGAGCAGCACGGACAGGCGACGCACGCAGGCTCACGACGCTCAGCAAGACCTTAAGTAGGACCAGTGTAGGGAGAAGGAGCAGGCAGTGGGGAGGCGAGCTGTAACTGTAACTGCGACAGGACCGGCTGTGGACACTCTAAGGGAGGAGGAACAGTAGAAGGCGGGAGACCAAGAACTTGCTCAAGGAGCGGAACGAAGTACGGCCGAGGCCGGGCAGCGACTCCAGAAACAGCAGGGACAGCACCAGTACCCCAAGTGGTAGCACCAGCGCCGGCAACACCTCCAGCTCCAGCAACGCCAACTCCAGCACTCTCAGAAGCACCAGTGCCAGCAGGACCTCCAGCACCAGTACCCCCAGCAGCTCCAGTAGCTCCAGGACCTCCAGCAGCACCAGCAAAACCACCAGCAGGACCACCTCCAGTAGCACCAGCAGTACCCTCAGCGCCAACACCCGCAACAGCTCCAGCTCCGGCCGGACCACTAGAAGACGCAGCAGCTCCAGCTACAGCACTAGAAGTACCCGCAGGCCCAGCAGCTCCAATAATCCCAGTACGAGCACCTCCGGGACCCGTGGTACCAGCACCCTCAGCAGCACTAGAACCTCCAGCTCCAGCAGCACGCCTCCAGCGCCGGGCAAACCACTCACGCACCTCCTGTGGAGAGAGGAGCTCCCGCCTAGACGAAGCACCCGCAGAACCTCCAAGCCCAGCACCGCCAGAGGCCACACGAGTAGGCCCAGCACCCTCAGGCTCCGCACCCCCAGGCTTAGCACCCCCAGTCGTAGCACCTCTAGGCTCAGCACCCTCACTCGCAGCACCCCCAGGCTCA